TACTAGGTTCAGATTTGCCCAGCTCTTGAAAATTAGGTAGAAAATATCTAAACTATTTTGATAAGCTATCATTGGAATTCTTTTGGAAACACATTTGAAATGCTTTATGTGTCCCTTTTTATTTTAGTTCCCTCTATTATCATATATTCTTTGCATGCTTAGGGTCAAATTTTTAAAATTTTGTTTTTATTTGTTTGAAAGGCAGAAAGAGAGAGAGAGAGAGAGAGAGAGAGAAGTTCTCATCTACTAGTTCACTCCCCAAATACCTGCAACAGGTGGAACTGGTCCTGGCTAAGCTGGGAGCAGGGATCTCAGGGACTGTATTAACAAACATCTGGAATTGGGAGTGGGGTTGAGATTTAAATCCAGGCTTTCTAATAGGGGATATGGACATCCCAAGCAGTGTCTTAACTACTGTGCTAAATACCTTCCCATGTATGTTTCCCTTTAATCTACTAAACTTAAAAGCATCCATAATGTCTGATATTGTGACATTGATAGTTTGGTGCCACCTGCAATGCTGCCATTCCATATTGGGCTGGGCTGCTTCGCTTCAAAAACAGAGGAGGACAGCACAAGTGCTTGGGCCCTTGCCATCCATGTGGGAGACCCAAATGGAGTTCCAGTCTCCTGGCTTCTGTGGTTGTTTGGTGAGTGAACCAACAGGCAGAAGATCTCTTTATCTCTTTGTTTCTCCCTCTCTCACTGTCACTCTGCCTTTCAGATAAATAAATAAATCTTTAAAACAATAATTTGAAAAACCCTACAACATAATAGAGCAATAGCACTGGTAATAGCCACATATGTTAGAGAGACTAAACCATAATATGATATTTGAGAAATCTAGTTTCTCCTGTTTGAATTTTTAAGTTACTTGAGATAAAAAATATGAAATGGACCTTGTTTAGACTTATTTATTTATTTAAAACACAGCATTATAAACACACACGCACACAGAGAGAAATAGAGAGAGGAAAGAATGAGAATCTTCCATCTGCTGATTTACTCTCCTTTTTTTTTTTTTCTTTTTAAAAGATTTACTTATTTATTTGAGAGGCAGAGATACAGCAAGAGAGAGAGTGGTCTTCCACCTGCTGGTTCATTCTCCAAATGGCAGCAACGGATGGAGCTAGGACAATCGGCCTCATGGCTTCACGTATCAATTTATCAGTCACTGTTTCTCTAGCCCCAGTGCAACTCTTGAAGACTGATTGGTTCTGCTTTCCTACCTGCCAGGTGTCTCTGCATGATTAAATTTCTAAGTCATATAAACAGGTCTGTAAGGGGTGAAACCAAGACAAATTAATGCAAGCGTGTTTTCTCAGTTAAATTTGTTCAAAAGTAAAATGGGCTATCTTGAAGTAAACTCCACATCATAGTTCTACTAAAGCATAGTCTTGATACGAATTTGTTAGGGCACAGTGTTGTAAAGATTCAAATATCGCAGAATCGTTCAATATATAAAACCTTCCAAGGCCTCTTAAGCCTGAGAGTCTGTGATTCTGCAAAATTATTCTCACTGCCTTTTCTCATAATGTCATCTATTTTAATAATCTTCCTTTACTACTAAAACTTATGTGATTTACCTCTTTCAATTACATATAATACCAATTCTTTATTTCTCAGTGCATTATTCAATAATCAATTTACTTCAACAAGTGCATGTTATTTCTTTTTCCTCTTCTTGGTCCTTCAAGACTTTTAAAAAAAATCTTGTTAATTTTCATTATAACATCTGCAATTCATTGATTACAAGTAATGTTTAAAAATATCTTACAAAGGAAGCAATAGCTTTCTATGCTTAATCCAGTTTACAAATTAAAAAACTTTTTTCATATTGAATAGACTTACTTTTGTTGTCCTAAAATAATTCAATTAACCTTTGAGATTAAAATACTTGTTTATTTAAAAAATAAGCTGAGGTTTCATTTAGTGGATGCTTATAGAGTACTTTGAAATGTTTTAGTGTAACATGATATAAAAGATCAATGTCTAATTGGATATCTTGTAACTTTTCTGTATTTATAGCATATTAGTTTTAATGATAATGGAGCTACACAAATATATGCTGATTCACTAAATTTTACAAGATCTTTTTGAAAAACACAGTTTTAGACTGCTTTACAACTTTTTTACAGGATATAAAATATTTCCAAAGTATTTATTTCATATAGATGTAGGAAAATCTACACAAATTACAGTTTCTGCAAGTATATAGCCCTCCATCTGAATGAATACTGTTCAGCACTTAGAATTTCAGTAAACACTGACAATCCCCAAACAAAACAAAAGTGAAACAATAATCTCTAATTTATCATATTTTTATTTGCTTAACTTTTACAGGCTTAATTTGCAGCTAGACAACTGTGTGCAATATATTTTCAATTGTCTCAACAGTAGTATATCAAAGAGGATGCCAGTTAGCTTTCTCCTGATTATCAAATATATGGTCTGTTGGCCTAAACATCATTTGGAATGGACAAAAGAAAAAAAAAGCAGTAACCTTCATGAATACTTGTACAAAAGTTAAAGAGAAGTGAATATAATATGTAGAAGACTTAGGTACACTGTACATAAACAAAGATGACTGCCTTTAGAGTTTGGAACTTTCTTGATAAATACTCCACCGCATGTTAAAGAGTTCTCTATTGTTACTCTACCAATAAATCTATTGAAAGATTTTTTTATTTAAGCCATCAGAATGAGTGAAGTACATGCTAGACAAGAAAATTATACTTATTTTAGTCATTTTAATACCACTGTCCCTCTCTAGAAAAATACAGAATAGTTAGAAAGAAGCTATTTGAAATACTGTAATGCCATTTTGACTTAGACACACACTAATCAGCAATGTAGATATATTTTTGTTGAACTGAAAGTTGCATCCTGTATGTTATTTTTATGTTTTCCTTTTATCCATTATGTACATAAAGACCTTTTTTCCACAAGAATTCCTCCTTTTCACAAGGAAATATTTTATTAAAATAAAGCTGTGGACATATAAGTGTCATTGCAGAAATCACTCAAATGTTGTAACGTAAAATCAAGCATTCTTCATGATCACCCCAGTGCATTTTTATCTGGCATGAAATATTTGTATTGGAAGAAGTCACTTTTAAGACTCACAACACATGTCAGCTATTGAGTGTTCTGTGCCTCCCAAGTACCAGCATCTGCTGGGAATAAATCCATTAACATGTTCATGATTCCTTTTATCAACTGATAACCTTGAAAATCAAATAAAGTGAAAATACTTCCAAAAAGTTAAAGTGATTCAGTTGTTTTAGGAATGATGTTGCCTGGTTTCTTTCAGGGTTACTCTAATGTACCTCCCAGCACTGAGGCTCAAGGGGCATGTGTGTGAGTTCACACTTGCCCACACAGAATATGTTGTACCCAGGGATGATTTGCCTCGAATTGAGCAACCACCTGAAAAGGCCAGACACATTTCTGTGACTCATCAGCCTACTGATGCCATTTGCCTTCTCCTAAATCACACTTATTTATTAAAGAGATGAACTCCTTTGGCCAGCTTTCCTGAATATACCTCTTTAAAACCCCATTTGGAGACCTAGTGGTGAAACACATAGGACAAATAGTCTTTCCATATCTATGTCTTCATAAAGGTAAAATTCACATGGAAGGACTTATTTTCCTAGAAAATACTGAATATAGGGTTGAAATTCATGTCAATAGTTGTGAAATGCTATATTTAGAGTAGGTTTTCATATCTTGGTGTCTTTGCAGTTACTATATACTTGGAGATGCCTTACTAATCTTAAATAGTACTGATTATTTTGGAAAACAGATTGTAATATTATAAACACAATATATAAATGTTTATATACACACATTCATGAGTATATAATATAGAGCCATACTTTGTGCATAACCAATAGTTGCCATGTGTGTATGTGTGTGTGTATATATACACACATACATAAATGTATTTGTATATATTCAGAAAATTTTGTAGGCCCCTGGTTCTCCCTATACCAATTCTCATCTCGAATTGTGGTTTAATGGTATAATTTACAGCATACAGAAAACTCACAAGATAAAGGCTGAAGTCCTACCTCTAGGCCTGCCTCTCAAATATTTCCATATTTAAATTAAAATGTGTTTCTTTGCAAAGGGTGAGCTAGAGATCCTTTGAAAGCTTTCAAAAATAGGGTCAGGTTCATTTTTGGTCTACACTTATTATAGCTACACAACTTGGCTTGTCTTGGACAATTTGCCGGCTTCACTTCAGGAAGGAACAGCAAGAGATACTAAGATGATTTCTCAGGCTACCTCGTGCTCAGCTGGGAAGTTCGTGGAAGGCTCCCCTCTTCAACACCACCACTGATGAAAGGGATCTATTAAAAAGCACTGCGTTGGTTTACACTGCAGATTGAATGGAGCATTAAACGACTGCATTAGTATGACTGCAGTGGGGGTAATGGTGGCTTCCATAATGTTGTGATAACAGTTTCACGTAGGTGCAATCATTGTTCAAATGTTCTTATCTAATTTGTAACGAAATGGTGTCCAGCCTCCCTCCAGCAAACGCCCCCTCAGACCTCCCCTAACCCTCCAGTTCTATGCCACCTGCCCTTAGCACGTGTAAACAGATGAGGCAATATGTGTACTTTCAAATTGTCACCTATGTCTCACGAAGGTGGGAGATTACTGCAAATCACTTGGAAACGGCTCGTCGTCGGAGGCGTTTAGCGATACCGCCCACCAATACAGCTCAGATGTTCCTAATTTGATCACCCCATCCCCCCAGTTTGGGCTGTAATTTTCCAAACAGCCATATCTTCCTTTGCAAAAGTTAAAATCAATCCGGAAAGAAAGAATGCTGACTTCCTGGTACTAGATTCTGTAGGGTTCCTCTTTGTAGAGCTGCCAGATTGTGACCCATAAAGGAGAGAGAGGAGGAGAGAGAGAGAGAGGAGAGAGAGAGAGGAGAGAGAGAGAGAGGAGAGAGAGAGAGAGGAGGGGGGGAGAGAGAGAGAGAGAGAGGACTGGGGAGGGAGGAAGGGAAGGAGGCAGAGAGAGAGAGAGAGAGAGAGAGAGAAAGAGAGCGCGCGCGAGAGAGCGAGGATCGCTTGCTTCCTTGCTTCCTAAGCAGGGATTTGCCTGCGATGCGCGGCGAGAGGACTGCGGCGGCTGATTTACACAGTTGGCGCGGAGGAGGGGCCGGGGGTGCGGGGGGGCCCAGCTGGCGGAGGCTCCGGCGATGGGCTGATCTGGGGGCTCCCGAGCGCCGCTCCCTCGGTGCGCGATTTGGGGGCGGCTGATGGATCTGCCTTCGGGTTCCAGCCCCTGCGTGTCCTATCTCGCCTCCCTAATACCCGACCTGGCGCTCCCAGTTTTCGGAGCAGACGTCGGTAAGTAACGTGTAATCCGATTTCAGTTATTTCCTAGGCCATTAAAGTGGCACTTTTAAAGCAGGTCAGTCTGAGAAGATGCCGCTGCCGCCGCCGCCGCCGCCGCCGCCGCGAGCGTCTCCTTGGCCTGAGCCTTTCGGCCGCCCCCTCCCCCGCCCGGCTCTGGCCGGAGAAGTGAGGGTGCCTGAATGGTGAGCTGTCAGGGCACTCGCTCGCGGCCAGCGAGATCTCTGCACCTTGGTGCGCCGCGCGAGGTCTCCCACACCCGAGGCGCCTTTGGTGTGTACAGCCATACTGTTGTATTTGTCTCTGCTCCCTCCGCCTCCCTCCCTGCCGCCCCGCACCCCCCACCCCCCAACCTTGGCGGTCTGACCAATGCTGGGATCTGGGATCTAGTCACCCCTTCCTGCCTCCTTTCCGCCTCTGGTCCACACACCACCAAGCCCCCACGGCCACCCACCCAAAGGGCAAAAGAGCGCAGCCACCCGGGAAAAAGGCGAGGGCTCCTTCCCGTCTCCTCGGATAGCAGGAGGCCTCGGGCCGGGAACTGCGCGCTTCTGAGTGACAACCTTTCAGGAAGAGAGAGACAAGACAGAGAGAGAGCCGGAACCCGAGCCCCGGGCCCTCGGGAGCAGCGAGGCTCGCCGCTGGCTGATCCACAGCCCCGAGGTTCCACATCGAAGGAAGCCAGACGTGGGACGCTCACGCTGCGTGCCTGCCATCGGGCCACCTCGGGCTGTGGTCGGGAGCCCCCCTGACGCTAGGTGCGCGCCTGGCTTCGCTGGTATGCAAGCGACCATTTCCCTGAAGGTGGAAACGCTCGAACGGATTACAAGCGGGATTCGGGAGCAATCTGAAAGTTGCTAGCCAGCAGAGGAGACGCTGCAAGGCTCCAGCATGGTGGATACAATTCAGCCTCCCCGAGAGTTTGCCCCTCCCGCTGGGAAGCCCCTCGCCGCAAACCTCGGAGATGGTGAGCGCTCTGCGCCGCTAGGTACTCGCCGCCATCCTTTTCCTTACTTTGCCTAATTGAAACCAGTATGTCTCGCAGGCAGGGTGTGCAATGCACAGCACGCCAAGAGTTTGGCCGCCGCGTCTTCCGTACGCTCACAGGTGCTAGGGGTTTGTTGCATTTTTGAAGTGGATCGGTAGGTCTAAGGACGATGATGGAAGGAGGGGTACCGGAGACCAGCCTGCTCTCGGACCCCGTCTCTGGGGAAGGAAATCGTAAGTAACTCAGACAAATGGGCCAGGTGGCGGAGCGAGGGACCCCTCCCCCCAATAGCTCGCTCGCTGGTGTTGTAAAAAGATAGGAGGAAAACGGCTTGTGCTTCCCACAATTTTCCGTGTCTGAACAGACCCATTGTGCGTTTCGCCTGGCGACAGCGGATTAGCAAAGGATCTCTAGGAGACTCAAAGCTCTTCAGAAAATGAATGATGCAGCATTTTAATTATTTGTTCTAGGGGAGATCGTTCTGCTTCCATATTGGAAGATTTAACCTTCGATTTGGAGAGAGGAGAGGGTTCGCGGATCCGGCGATGGGAATGGGGAGGTGGGTAGGGGGCACAGCCAGGAGAAAGGGCTTCTTGTTCTCTGCACAAACAAATGGTGCTGGGCGCTCCCAGCAGGACGCGTAGGAAACCGGGCCCCCGGGCCCTCGTGTCCCCTAACTTTTGGAGTCTTCCCTGTCCCTTGGACACGCTATCCTGAAATGAAAGGAAGGAAAAGGATGAAATAGCCTTGAGGGCATGGCCCAAGTCCAGGCTTAGGGGGTTGTAGTTCACCAGACAACCGGACTTGATTGCAGAGAGACACTGGGGAGCACAGGGCAGCCTCCTGGTTACCCACTGATTTTATTAAATCATGGGTTCAGATAAAAATCCGTGAAAACAGTCCCCGCCTTTGCATATTGAACACGGAAGGTACTGGGAGTGCAGTGGGGTAGGGGGAAGGGGTGGAATTGTCTGTGGGGTCAGGCTGCTGGTTGGTGTTGGCTTGCTTCTTGGCTGAGACCTATCTGAGAATAGGGTGGGTCTGGAATAATAAGGGTGTAGAATGTTACAGGATTCTGCCCCCTGCTTATCTCATCGTTGGTTGCTGTACCAGTCTTAGCTACTGGGAGGAAGTGGACACAGGGACGGTCATTTTAAATGCACAATATCATGTTAATTGCTTATGACTTTTTAAAGGAACATTTTTAGTTTGATGATGCATATATTTTGGTGGCAAAAAAAATGGATAAGCTGTGCTTTTCTTTAAAATTTGGTTTTGCAAGGAATATTTCAAGGGAAAGTCACGACGACCTACTAACTCTGATCCCTTTGGGCAACTGAGGTTCAATCTAGTTCTTTAGTGACCAGGAAGTCCCTCCCCTCCCCTCTCCCCTTGGGTTGATGATAGGATTGGTGTATGCTGGGGTGAGGGAGGTATGCATCAGCCACACACAATTCCAGCTAGCTAGGCACCTCATCTGCACACTTGGCTCTCCTCAGTTTCCCCCTCAGCAGCATTTCCTCTCATCAGATAGGACTGTAGAATCACTTGAGCCTTTTAAAATTCCTTTTTGAGGTTTCCTGCCAACTATGACCTGGTGGTTCTTCTACATATCAACACCTTCCTCCAATCTAGCCCACTCTACTGCTCCCTACCACCCCGTTTCCAAAAATATCACAGATAAATATTTGGATTTTTAAAAGAAAGAAAGAAAAATAAAAAGAATCCAAATCCTGAAATCCTGCACTCGCTCTCCTCTGTGAGGGTTTTGCAGATGGAAGGAAGTGAAGTGTGCCGGCCGTTACCCAAGTGGTCTGCATCTCCCAGAGCCATGGCTTTGGTTTTAAAAGGGTGGAAGAAAACACATGGCTGTTAAATTCAGGGTAAATCAAGGGCTTTGAGCTGCAGCACAACAAAAGGATTCCTGGTGCAAAGGGATCGAAGCAAAATGCAGGAGAAACTCAGTCCAAGTTGCTCAGGCTGCCTGGGCTGTTACTCTGGACAATTCAAACAGAATTCAAACAGAATCAGCCAGATTCAGCACTTTTGCCCTGGGGACCTGGATTCCCCCCTCACCCTCACCTTTGGAGGGGATGTGTGCTGTAAAATGGATAATTCTTAGGAATAAATTCACTTTCCTAACCATCTGTGCTACAGAGAAGAGGATCACATCATCTAAGGGATTGGTTTCCTTGAAAGAAAAAAGGAAGAGAGAAGAGAGGAGAAGAGAGATGAAAAGAGGAGAGGAGAGGAGAGGAGAGGAGAGGAGAGGAGAGGAGAGGAGAGGAGAGGAGAGGAGAGGAGAGGAGAGGAGAGGAAAGGAGAGGAGAAGAGAGTAGACGAGAGGAGAAGAGAGGAGACGAGAGGAGACGAGAAGAGCAGAGCAGAAGAGAGGAAATAAAAGGGAAGAAAGGGGAAACAACCTCATCTCCACCTCCCCCAGCAAAGGAATGTTTCCTGGGTTCATCTCTTACCAGTTCACTCTTGTTTCTTATTTCGCCAATTTGTCACTTAGACTCCTCCACTTCTTTTCCTTGCCCTGAAACGCACGCGCGCACACACATGCTCGCACAAACACACACACACACACACAGGCACACACAACTCAATAGTCAGGGCTTCCTAGTGCTCGCTCCCGACCCCATGCTAAGCGCGTTCCCCTGCTTGGAGCTCTTTTTCATGACGTGGAAAGCTGGCTCCAGGGTTACAGCACATATTAAAATTTAAAAAGAGAAAAGAAAAGGAAAAGAAAGAAAAATCCCGGGTGAGAGAAGTCCAAGATTCTGCTCCTTCCTTCCTCCCTGCCTTCTTCCCACCTTTCCTCCCAGTGCCCAATGATGTGCTGCTGGTGCCCATAGAGCAGCCACCGCGGAGGCGGCGGCAGCGGCGGCGGCAGCAGCAGCAGCAGCAGCAGCAGCAAAGCTGGAAGCCCGCAGCCCCTTCTCCCTCCCCTATTGAGTGTGCCAAGCAGCAGTTCTGCATCCTAAAGAAGCCCATTGAGGAGCACATTGCATTCCTGGCACGTCTCTAACTGGCCTTTTTCCCCCTCTTAGTCTCCCCCCAACCCCAGCTCCCTTTGCTTCAGTTTCAGCAAGAGGAGGGGCGGGAGAGGGAAAGAGATAGAATTCTTAAACTCAAGCTTTACCCCTCTTTTCATTGTTCAATGCTAAAAAAAAAAATCTGCAAAATGGGTAAGTCAAAGACATCTGGAGCCTATCTTTCCAAAACCTCAGGGTAGTAAAAAAAAAAAAAAAAAAAAAAAAAAAAAACAAAAAAAAAAAAACAAAAAACAAGAAAAACATTTAAGAAAAGAGTGGTGAAGATGAAAGAGCTTAAGTAGATTTTAATATTTTATAAGGGAGACAGGGAAGACTAACTGGTGCTGCAATGTACCCTGGTCTGCCTTGTTTCTCTCTATCTCTCTTTTTCATTTAATTGTTTCTAAAAATTGAGTATTGCATGCCTGAGGCATATTTCTCTTTGCTTTCTCATGGTTTCTCTTTTCCTTACAGCTGTGTAAATTATATGCAAGTTGAATGTGAAGATTTATTCTTTTCATTTTCTCTATAAATTACATCATTGTGTTTTAAGTTGGAGGGTTAGTAAAATACTGCTTTGATATAGGTATCTGTGAAGGGAGAAAATGTATGCCTGAAGCTCCGGTTTATTTTTATTGATTAAAATCAGTCATTCAATTTTGATTGATATTTCAGTGACTCAGGAAGGATAATCTAATAAAACTGCATTCTTATAATTTATTTATGTGCACATTTTTATATACTGATGATATTAGTCAAGGAAAGAGAGCCATGGAGGAAGGTTCTGTATGTAGAAGAGTGCACTGCATCTGTTTCTTCCGATTGAAAAAGAATGATGTCTTCTTCTGAAATATATTTCATATGATAGTTTATTTATCAGCAGGTAAGAATTGAGGTTTCCATCCTCTCTTACCTTTAACCACCCACCCCTCCTAAACCAGTCTCCTGCTTTTCCAACTTTTTACAGGTTTCTGCATTGGTCATTCCAAACTAAGCTCCAAGAATGTTTTAATTCAGACATTCCCAGACACAGCATCCCTTAGGAGTCACTATCTTTAGCTCTGACAGTTGCATGGACACATTCTTCACAAGGACTAATCACTGGTAAAAGATTTAAATTGGCAAATGACACAAATATGTAGAAGTTATCTAATTAAAGGACAGGCCAATAATCTGTGCTTGGGCCAAAGGGAGAGGGGCATAGAGTGTTACGACCATACACTGAAATTGCATTTATCATGATCACTCACTTCTTAAAAGAATTCTTAAATTTTGGGGGATGCCAATCATTTCACACATCTCAGCAACTGATGTTGAGTAATAAGTTCCAATTTCATCATACTCTCTAATAACTTTGGGGTATATCTTTTTAGCAGTAGAAGCCTATAATTTTAGAAACATCTTTTTCCCCTATCAAAATTCCAATTTTATAATGGGCAGTGCCAATGTGACTTTAACAATCAATCAAGTGTAATGACCAAATTATTCCCAGTATTACTGGGTTTCCTTATGTCCAAAAGGTGCCACTCTATACTAATCTTATTATTTTCAATAAGAGGTAATACAAACTTTTTTTATTCATGTGATATGCCACTTACCAAATATGGCTTGGCTCTGGAAACTGTCATTGCATCGGTTCAATATTTCAATGTATCGCAAATTAAAATATAGCACACACTGTAAACATTAAGCATGTTGCTAACTCATTTTGAATGTCAGTTTCACAACTTCTTATTTTGATAATGTTCTTAAAAAGCCTCACATATAGGAGATAATTAAAATAGTACATATGGCTGCAAGCTAAATATCTGCATCTTTATTTCTGTTGCAGTTTTGTAATCAACCACGAATGATGAAACCGTCCGTAGCTGAGATGCTTCACAGAGGGAGGATGTTGTGGATAATTCTTCTAAGCACAATTGCTCTAGGATGGACTACCCCGATTCCCCTGATAGAGGACTCAGAGGAAATAGATGAGCCCTGTTTTGATCCATGCTACTGTGAAGTTAAAGAAAGCCTCTTTCATATACATTGTGACAGTAAAGGATTTACAAATATTAGTCAGATCACAGAGTTCTGGTCAAGACCTTTCAAACTGTATCTGCAGAGGAATTCAATGAGGAAATTATACACCAACAGTTTTCTTCATTTAAATAATGCCGTGTCCATTAACCTTGGGAACAATGCATTGCAGGACATTCAGACAGGAGCTTTCAATGGTCTTAAGATTTTAAAGAGGCTGTATCTACATGAGAACAAATTAGATGTCTTCAGAAATGACACCTTTCTTGGCTTGGAAAGTCTGGAATATCTGCAGGCAGATTACAATGTCATTAAACGTATAGAAAGTGGGGCATTTCGTAACCTAAGTAAGCTGAGGGTTCTCATTCTAAATGATAATCTCATCCCCATGCTCCCAACAAACTTATTTAAAGCTGTCTCTTTAACGCATTTGGATCTACGTGGGAACAGGTTGAAGGTTCTCTTTTACCGAGGAATGCTAGATCACATTGGCAGAAGCCTCATGGAGCTCCAGCTGGAAGAAAATCCTTGGAACTGTACCTGTGAGATTGTACAGCTGAAGAGCTGGCTGGAACGCATTCCTTACACTGCCCTGGTGGGGGACATCACCTGTGAGACACCTTTCCATTTCCATGGGAAGGACCTTCGAGAAATCAAGAAGACAGAACTGTGTCCCTTGCTGTCTGACTCTGAGGTGGAGGCTAGTTTGGGTATCCCCCACTTGACATCAAGCAAGGAGAATGCATGGCCAACTAAGCCCTCTTCCATGTTGTCCTCTGTGCATTTTACTGCTTCTTCTGTTGAATACAAGTCCTCAAATAAACAGCCTAAGCCCACCAAACAACCCCGAACACCAAGACCACCCTCCACATCCCAAGCTTTATATCCTGGTCCAAACCAACCTCCCATTGCACCTTATCAGACCAGACCACCAATTCCCATTATATGTCCTACTGGGTGTACCTGTAATTTGCACATCAATGACCTTGGTTTGACTGTCAACTGCAAAGAACGAGGATTTAATAACATTTCTGAACTTCTTCCAAGGCCATTGAATGCCAAGAAACTGTACCTGAGCAGCAATCTCATACAGAAAATATACCGTTCTGATTTTTGGAATTTTTCTTCCTTGGATCTCTTGCATCTGGGAAACAATCGTATTTCTTATGTCCAGGATGGGGCCTTCATCAACCTTCCCAACCTAAAGAGCCTCTTTCTCAATGGCAATGACATAGAGAAGCTGACACCGGGCATGTTCCGAGGCCTACAGAGTTTGCACTACTTGTACTTTGAGTTCAATGTCATACGAGAAATCCAGCCTGCGGCCTTCAGCCTCATGCCCAACTTGAAACTGCTGTTCCTCAATAACAACTTGTTGAGGACCCTTCCAACGGATGCCTTTGCAGGCACATCCCTGGCCCGGCTCAACTTGAGGAAGAACTACTTCCTCTACCTTCCTGTGGCTGGCGTCCTGGAACACTTGAATGCCATTGTCCAGATAGACCTCAATGAGAATCCTTGGGATTGCACTTGTGACCTGGTGCCCTTTAAACAGTGGATTGAAACCATCAGCTCAGTCAGCGTGGTAGGTGATGTGCTTTGCAGGAGCCCTGAGAACCTCACCCACCGTGATGTGCGTACTATTGAGCTGGAAGTTCTCTGCCCAGAGATGCTGCATGTTGCACCAGCTGGGGCATCCCCAGCCCAGCCTGGAGATTCTCACCTTGTTGGGGGGCCAACAAGTGCATCACCTTATGAGTTCTCACCCCCTGGGGGCCCTGTGCCGCTTTCCGTATTGATCCTCAGCCTGCTGGTTCTGTTTTTCTCCGCAGTCTTTGTCGCTGCAGGCCTCTTTGCCTATGTGCTCCGCCGGCGACGGAAGAAGCTGCCCTTTAGAAGTAAGCGGCAGGAAGGCGTGGACCTCACTGGCATCCAGATGCAATGCCACCGGCTATTCGAGGATGGTGGAGGCGGTGGTGGTGGTGGAAATGGAGGTGGAGGTCGACCAACGCTTTCCTCCCCAGAAAAGGCCCCTCCTGTGGGGCATGTGTATGAGTACATCCCGCATCCAGTTACCCAGATGTGCAACAACCCCATCTATAAGCCTCGCGAGGAGGAAGAAGTGGCCGTATCATCGGGCCAGGAAGCAGGGGGCGCGGAGCGTGGGGGCCCTGGGACACAACCACCGGGAATGGGTGAGGTTCTCCTAGGAAGTGAGCAATTTGCTGAGACACCCAAGGAGAACCACAGCAACTACCGGACCTTGCTGGAGAAAGAGAAGGAGTGGGCCCTGGCCGTGTCCAGCTCCCAGCTAAACACCATAGTGACGGTGAATCACCATCACCCTCACCCTCACCACCCGGCAGTCGGTGGGGTTTCAGGGGTGGTCGGGGGGTCCGGGGGAGACTTGGCTGGATTCCGCCACCATGAGAAGAACGGCGGGGTGGTGCTGTTTCCTCCAGGGGGAGGCTGTGGTGGTGGCAGTATGCTACTAGACCGAGATAGGCCACAGCCAGCCCCCTGCACGGTGGGATTCGTGGACTGCCTTTATGGCACAGTGCCCAAATTAAAGGAACTGCACGTCCACCCTCCTGGCATGCAATACCCAGACTTACAGCAGGACGCCAGGCTCAAAGAAACCCTTCTCTTCTCAGCTGGAAAGGGCTTCACAGACCACCAAACCCAAAAAAGCGATTACCTCGAGTTAAGGGCCAAACTTCAAACCAAGCCGGATTACCTCGAAGTCCTAGAGAAGACAACATACAGGTTCTAACGGAAAGCTGAAAATAAATTAGTGCTTTTTTTTTTTTTTCTTTTTTTTTGGAAAGGAAAAGGAAAATAAATCTACCCCTCGCTCCCTTTCATTTGTCCCAGTAACTCCATCCTCACCATCTTTCCTGTCCTGAACAGGACTGACATCGCATGACAATTCGAGACACAGATGTATGCTCTCCCTTCTCAGATGTGATTTGGAGGAAGGGCCACACTCAGATCATTAATCAATGAAGTGCCTTCGCAGACTTTTGCCAGCAAATGTTACCATTATTTTTTTATACTGAAACTTAAGACTTTGACTGTGCCATGTATAAGGTATACTGGGGATCGTTCTATTGATCCTAATTCAGTAAAATTCAAAGTGTCTTTTTATTTTCAATAACTTTTTTCTTTAGTTAGAATTTTGTTCAAAAGGGAGGGGGGAATTGACGTTTGTGGCTTTCTTTCCTCTTCCCATCATGGCACAGATTCTGTACATGTATGAACAATGCAGTTTGCTGCATGCCTGGAAACTGCAAGACGGGGAGGGGGGGCGGGTCTTGCTCGAATGTTCTCACTCATTCTTGTCTCTCACGCACATACTCAGCCCACAGGTCCTTGCACAGTTAGGTCCTCTTTCTGCTCTTACAGGTACACACACACCAACACACACACACACACATGCACACACACACACCACGTCCATTCAACCCAAACTACTTAGTTCGGGTTTGATACATTTCTCTCCTCTCTGGAGTTTCACCTGCCCTTCTTCCCTAGTGTACAGCTCACAGCATCTCTCCTACCACCCTGGAAAAGTCACATTCGAGGCTGGATCCTACTGAAGTGAAGGCCTGGTGGTTTAACAGCTGGAGACAGACGCCTAGGGATAAGTACCCTCTTTGTGACACTTCATCCTGACACCAATATTTTTTGGAGAACATGTGCACTTTCTTATATATATATATATAATATTAAAAAATTAAAAAGCAACTGGGTATATATCACTAACAGCTTTGTAGGAAGCACTTTTAATGTTTTCTCTCACACACACAAAGATTCAAAAGAAATGTGCATATATTTATTCTGTAATTTCAGTGATTATAAATTGTAAAGGTAATGTTTAATCATTGTATAGTGATTATGCGTCTGGTATAGCTTTCCTAATAAAAAGTTTTTGAAAAACATAATATATTATATATAGAGGATACAAAGCTTGAACCTTAAACTTCAGCTATGCCATGCCTTTCGTGCTCCCATCTTACAAATATATTTCTTTTATTTGTTATACAGAAAACTAATTTATTAACAAGTTTGATTCACTGTGATGTTGATAAGTCTTATAATCCATTACCCCCATCCCATGCTAGGATACAATTAGGGCTTAATGAAATCTGATTTATAGTTCACTTCTTTTTCTTGGATTGTGAATTTCAAACTTAGTATCCCAATGACGCATCGTTCGCAAGGTAGGATGCATTTGGGGGAAATTAACTACATGGCTAAAAACTACAGAATTATCAGGAGAATGGATTCAAGGATTTATGCATTTCCAGATAGTAAATGACATAGAGGAAAAGAAAGGTGAACTTGTTATTCTTGGAAAGCTAGGCACTAAAATCAGACATATATACTCTTACCTACGCACAGGTACACATAGCACCCAATCAAAGGTCTCGGAGCCAGTTCAACTTTCAGAATCCCATTATCTGTGGAAGTTGTCAGTGCTATATTTGGCTACCATTTTTTGTTTTCATTTTTTTGTTTCGTTTTGTTTTGTTTTGTTTTGTTTTGTTTTTCTAACCACTCACTACAACTGGCCCCAGAATGCTTGATCTAAGGGGATGCCGAATGAGGTTTCCTTTTTGGACAGTAAGGTTATGCTACAAAATTAATCTGACAATAATCCAAGTTATTATCTATTTCCATGTGAACAAAACCAAAGACATTGGATTTTTTTTTTTTAGGTGCCAGTATTTTGTTCAAAAGAAACTGGAGAGCTTTGAGGCAGTCATAAATTCAGCCAGCAGAGGGCAGCAGAGCTCCAATGATCCACCAACAGCGCTGCAGCCTTGCGCAGGGAGGCCAGTGTTTTTAACTAGTGTTTCCTCCAACTGCCCTTAGAAATTGTCATTATGTGTTGAATGTAATTCATCACAAGTCACTGATGCCTTACATCACATTTTTCCCCACAAGGAATTAGAATAGCAGCTTCTAAAGGTCTGTGGTTGATACACTAAGGCACTGTACTTAAAACAAGCCCATAAATGTCTAGAAGAACATACTCTATATATATCCTGAAATTTTCATGTAAGTACCAACACAGGTACTCAAACTAATAAAAAACTCAAGGCAACAATATAAAACTCTGAAATTTCACTGCTCCCTTGCGGACATGTTGTACCTATAACTTTGTCTCTATTATTTGAAGTATGTTAGAGAACAGAAAAGATCCCATGAATATGATTCACTCTCTAATTTTTTGTACAATATTTAAGTAAAGCTCTTCTTATACCAGAAAGTCAGTTCCATGATTAAATAGGTGTCATTCCTTTTTTGTTGTTTTCTTCTATATTCTTCTTCTTCTTGATTTTACTTTGCAAGTCACCTTTTCCCCATCTGTTGTTTTGCCTTTCTCATTCTTTCCAATCGTCTCCCTCCTCCACGAATTTCTTTTTGTAAGGCACAGAAACTCAGTACTTTCCCCAAAGTGTTTGGGAACCTAAATTTTGGAATCTCAATTTATCATGCTTCCATTTCTTCCAATCAAAACATTTTGGTGAATGGTAGAAAGCATGTATCCAGTAAAAATTCAGCGTGCAAAGCCAGATACTGCTGAACACCATCACCATAACATGGCTTATTGCACCAATCAAGATAAAGTGTGATCCCTGAAAGACAAAGACCCTGATGCTTCCAACATTTGAAAGATGAGTCTCCACAAACCTTATTAATTTGCAATATAACTTGATAATAATGATGCTTAAATTCATATATAAAATAGAGAGACTATCTTGTCTTAAACAGAGCTAGAAATTTCTCCCTTGAATAAGGAATAAATTTGATGAAAATAAATTTATATGAGAGTGGAATTTTCTACTCAAGGAGATAATTTTTTCTTCCAGGGAGATTTCTACCCCCTGATCAAACCACCTATTTTAGCTGTGCATTAAAATTACTTAAATTAGCTTTAATTTATAATTCCTGATGTGTTTTCATGAAATATCATGGTATATAGGTACTATGGTTAGGATCTATTTTATGTTTTGCTACAGTAAAATATTTTTTTAAGAAAAAAATAGATCACTAATGAACTTCATAGTTGTTAGTCGATTTGATTGAAGCAGTACCAAATCTTACATATATTTGCTATTACTCATTGCTATTTTTATTACTAATGATAGTAATAATACTGGAAATAATAAACATATTGAAATATCCCTTAATCTATAACATGGTTAGTGAAAAATAATTGAAAATGAACTATCAGTTTAATTCAGTAATAGTTTAACATGTTATATATCATATATGGTATTATTTATGTGTATGCCTTTATATTTTTATTTAGAAAGTTATCTTATTTCATCTAATTGCAAAATAGTTAAGAAGTAAGGATGATGAATACCATATTTTAATAAAAGGTTCAGAGAGAGAGATTGCAAGGCAACTTTAATGACTGAGTTTGGAAGTTGTTATTTTTATTTTTTCTTACCTATGAATGTTGATTTTAAACCCTTGATATCTGAAAATAATGTTTGTGTTTAGGATGATAAAAATTCATAATGTGACATAGAACAAAAGGACTCGTCTTTAACCACTGCAAAGCATTTTTATTCATTTAGTGCAAAGTGATTATTTGTGCAGTCCCATCATTTTGCAATTTTGTTGTCTAAGCCAAGAAAGGTTGCACTTTTGTGAAATGACTATGACAAAGAAAGCAAGGAGATGCTTCAAAAGATGAGAGGTGTATTATTATAGCATCAAGATAATGTGAGAGGAAATGATAATAAAAGGACACTTCATCTTATGTGATTTGAGCTGGTTTAATTTGAATTTAGACGTTGATAAATTAGCTCAAAACCCTCAACTCTGAAAATTCAGGTGAACAGAACTTAAATGATATCATTAAATTTACCATATATGTGTTTTGTTTAATATGCGATAGGCCTTTTAAAAGTAAGAGGAGCAATAACACATGTGTCATTGGGCAATCGTGTGTGTATATACAGCACTATTATATATGTATATACAGTGTATATACATGTATATAACTTACAGATGCTGAATTCTGTGTATAGTGTGCATTTTTATTACATGTATAACACTTTCCATTTTCTGCATTTATTTTTCCTGTCTAGATACCCCTCAAGTGAGGCTGGATGAAATTATGAGTTTTCATTTTGAGAATATTTACCTGTAAAAAGTAATGCTGTAATGAATACTTCTGAATTTAAAAGTTCTTTTATCTGCCATTCTGTTTCTTTTTGTTGTTTAACAAAGAGGGCAAATCTCCATCACATTGTGATTTATTCAAGTTAAACCTTCATGGTAAAGGGACCCCATTCTTACAAGAATGCAACTTAAGTCAAATGAAAATCAAATACTTTTTTCTTTCATTTCTGTATTTCTAGAATAGATTTTATAAGTAAAAACAATTTTAATAGATGTATTGATGAGATAAGACCTTTGTAATTTATCTACATATTTAGAAAAAGTGAAATATTGAAGTTGAATTGTGAAAAGTGAAGAACCAGTGTTAAGATATTCATCATCCCATTTTGTTTCTTTTAATATCCCCTGTAATTTAAAATGCTTAGGAATAAGCAGAGCTCACCATTTGTGGCATGCATAAATGTAAATGGAATCTGAGTAGAAGGGGCAGCTTTTTCTTATCAGGAATGCAGGTAAACAACAGGAGTTGCTGGTCTTGAAGAGGTAATGCTCTAACCAGCTTCTTCTGATAACATTTGGTCTTGAGACTAATATGTTTAATTTTGAGAAAATATATCATTTGCCTTCTATTATACTCATACAGATGATTTTTCAGTGTCTAAATTCTTAAAGGAAATAATATTTTTTTAAAGATTTTATTTATTTATTTGAGAGGTAGAGTTACAGACAGTGAAAGGGAGAGACAGAGAGAAAATCTTCCGTCCATTGCTTCACTCTCCAAGTGGCCACAATAGCTGGAGCTGTGCCGATCGAAAGCCGGAAGCCAGATGCTTCTTCTCCCTTGCGGGTGCAGGGGCTCAAGCACTTGGGCCATCTTCCACTGCTTTCCTGGGCCACAGTAGAGAGCTGGATTGGAAGAGGAGCAGCTGGGACTGGAACCTGTGACTATACAGGATGCTGGCACCACAGGCAGAGGATTAACATACTGCGCCACGGAGCTGGCCCCAGGAAATAGTATTTATGATGAACCTGAAAGACACATAGCTAAAGAGACATTATAATAAATTTATGGTTGGACCCAACCCCTAGAATAACTTTAAACATTAAAACATGATAAACATTCATAAAAAAATAAAAACTGTCTTCATTACCATTCAGTAACAAAGAGACTCAATATACTTAATCAAAGGTTTTTTTTTTTTTTTTTTTTTTTAGTGTATTTAGTCTATCTACTTGTTTTTGAGTAATGCAGTGAGTGATAGAGTTTACAGGGTATTAGATTATATCAAAACTGAACAAGTTTCATAAAAATGTGCTAATGATCATGTAAAGATAATCTGAATATTTTAATTAAATTATAAATATTAGTATACTGTGCCCTAATTAAGGAAAGGCACTAAATTATCTGTATAATGCTCTATTATATGTGAAGATGGAACTATTGTTACAGGTTTAGAGTTCGTTTGAATGATAGAACACTATATCATGATTTTTAGTAGCTTGAAAACAAGAGCACTTCCATTTCCTGGAAATGACAAATGTTAGCTCTGAAGAGAGACGCTAAAACAAAGATGTCCTCCGATTGTGTGGGAAGATGGGAAGAAGTGCTCTTCTCTCTTCAGACCTGACTCCTTTCACCACTGCCTGCTGAAAGCACAGCTCCTACTTCTGTTTCTGACTCTACCAAGATATTCTTCTGACTAATGACAGATTCAGTGAGCTCAAGTTAGGTGCCAAGGCAAGATCAGGGATTGATGAGTGTCTTCACATCTGATGACAAAATATCCTATTCACTTATCTTTGTACCTCAGTTAAGAAAATAATTCAACAAATCTCTCCTCCTCGTGGAAACATTTCTAAGTCTGGTAAAATAAAAAACAAAAAAGCAGAATCTCAATGCTAGATCAATTTGTGTAAATCAACAATAAGCAAATGTTTTTAAAATATAAAACCTAGTTTTAAAATCTTACAGACTTGATTTTTCTCATCTGGTGTTCCATTTATCTTTTCCATGGAATCCAAAATATTGATTTAATTAAGATTAAAACTTCAATGCAATATATTTATATAAAAATAGTTGCCTTTGACTAGAATCCACACATCATTTCTTTAAATTTGGACCATCCAGGTGTTACATTGTTACTTTGAATTGAGGATTTTTTTTAATGGGATTCTAGTAAAACAATTTATCTTAAAAGCCCTCCCTCACCATCATCCACCTTTTTTTTTTGTTTGTTTTTTGTTTTTTTTGGGGGGGGGGTTGTAATAACTAACTTTATACTAAAAATAAGTTTGTTAAAGATAGTCTTTGAAAAAAAATTTAACCACACAAAAAGACATATTATTTGGGGGAAAAAAAGAAAACTTGTAGTTCTATCTAATTTGGGTATTTTATAGTATTAAATTGAGTGGGGATTTCTTTTTCTGCTTGTGTTCCTCTTTTCCAGATTTAGATTCAAAAAATTGAAATATGTTCCTCTGTTTCAAATTGATAGTTCCTTTTTTGTATTCTAGCTGGCTGTAAAAAGGGAAGTGAGTGAGAAATGTTAATTATGGGAATAAGTAATCTCTCTGTGGAATAACCAGGTCCATAAATCTCATTTTTTCTTCAGGGAACCTTTAACAAAAAGAGCAATGGACAGAAAATGGGAAGAAATGAAAATGCTCTCCCTTTCTGAAGACTTGATAAAAGCTTAATGGAGAAAGTCTGAGCTAGGCTTTCATATTAATTTTGATTTCTCTCTGTGGAAGACTTTATGTCTCATAATAGGTCCACTGTATCTGCCAGTGTAGTTCTGAGGCACTTCAATTACCATGTTGTGCCACACTAACTGGACATTAAAACCTTTAACAGTAACTAAACTATACTCCTAAATTTGAATTATAATTAATTTTTAATGACAAAAATAACTAAGATAAACTGAGGTAACAATGCATCCTAAACCAGTTAGCATTGTCCATGGTACAGACATGTGCCTTTATTAACACTTATTTTTTTTCTTAAAAAAATTGTTTCCCTGCATAAATAAGAACACCTCATGAATTGAATGAACTCTTCATTATAACAATTAATTTTGGGGACATTTTGATATTACTTTGTCTTTCTCCCCCATTCCAGAATGCATTTAAGGAACAAAAGCAATTATTAATGTTTATTTAAGAAAACCATGTATATTTAAATGATTTATCAGGTAGTATATTCTAGACTATGACTATCTCAAATCCAGATATACATATTTCGAAGAATTTCTCATTAACTATAATATCATTCTCTATTTCTGTTTATAATTTGAATTTTACCAGTATAAACTATTTGAAAAAGCTTCTTAATTTGGACCATATACTCTTCTTTCTTTGTGCATGTGTAAAACTTATAGCTGAGCACTTGCTCAAAGGAATTGTGGCTATGTATATTCACACATATGTATTTTATTTAACAGCATTTTAATCAAATATGTGACAATTTGCATCATACAGTGTTGCACTTAGGACAATGTTGGTAAGCTGTAGTGTAGAATGTTGAACCAGTAATGTTTAATTTGTTAAATGACTACACTTGAGTTTGATATTTAATCAGTTTTCATTTAAATTTAAGCATGGCTAAGCAGTTCTGAGATACTCTGTTCACTACTCCCACCCCATTTCAAAAACATGAGTTAGCATATTAATCATTGTGCCCTAATTCAAAGAAGAGAGGGTAAAGATATTGATTCTTGGGGAACTTTTCTGAAAACTATACTCTGCTTAACCTAACTGTAATACACACAGCTTCACTCTTATTTCCACTGTTAGGATCAACACAGAATAATGGAAAGAAATGTTGCGAACAGAAAATGAAGAGACAGAGAAGATAATGCGTGGTCAAATGGACAGAAACTTCTGAAGTACTTTGATATATCAATTCATCAGCTTCTTTGTGGAATACTGTTCTCTGCAAGAGTCTGGCCACAAACCAACCCATCTCTCAGAATTTTATCTTTTAGAATTTGCAATTTGTTCACTCTTATTTTGCCCAGATCACTGTGGATATTTTATTTTCTGAAAATACATACTTTGAGGGGCATCAAAATTAAAGTCCAAATTTCCTTCATTCAACAGCCCTTTCCTGATACAGTAAACTAAAAGTTTGGAATTTTCTCAAAGATTCATGGACATTGTTTACACTTTGCTGATTTGGGTATGTTGGAATATTTTATCCTAAGTGTTCCTTCAGTCATTTTGTCTCTCTGCGCCAAGAATTCTGGCTTTTCAATTATACTGTAAGCACTTGAGAGCACAGACTGTCTTAAAGGTGTTTTGTAGTCCATGGTGTAACCCATATTTTACACAGCTTTGGGCAATATATTATCATCAAAATCCCAGGTTTCATCAATCTTGTTTCTAGAATAGTCACAGTATTGCCTTCCTGTTGTTTCCAACACAGAGCCTTAGTAGTACCAGACACTAGAGGAACATTTGCTTAATAAATGAATGAACAAAGTTTTAAAATTTGTGTGGATGATAGGTTCTTACAAAAGTTGTCAGTCTTCTGGTAGAAATGATAAACATGAAGGAGTTTGGTGTGCAAGAGAGATAGTAAGAAGTGTAACAGTATGGTAATCTAATGATTTCTTTTACTTTCCTTAACTTTATTAATAATACACACACTAAACTCAAGAAATCGAGATTGAAGAACATTGAATAATATGAGCCTTTTTCTAGGAAGAAAGTAATGGAGAAAAGAAAGGAAGAGAGGGAGACCTTGAGGAAGGAGGAAAGAGAGTACAGATGTGTAGAGCTCAGCTGTATCTTCCTCTGGAGCAGGCAAAGCAGAGAAAGGGGCATTGCAAACAGAATAAAAAATGGTACTCCTGAAGATTTTGGTTTGTTGGTTCAATGTTTACAAAAAACTGTGATAGTTTAGTAGGTCTGTTGATGTTTTTATGATGATTCCTTAGCAGTTCTAACACTTCGCTGGAAATTATACCAGAGTGTTAATCTGGCCAAGAGTATTAAAATAAAGCGGGGAACACTTACGAGTACTAAACATATCACCTTTCTTTAGAGAACTGAGCAGTCTCAATAATTTTTGTATCTTCTA